ACCAATTAACAAAACATCACAGTCTCATGGCCACTGACCATGGTTCAGTCTCATTTAACAAAACAATACTATGACCATGGTTGACCATGATAGTTGATGGTCACGTTTGTCTGGGTAGCTTTCCTTGATTTTCAATATGTGTTAATCTCTAGGGCTGAGTTTATTGCAAAATGGAAAAGCGCCTCAGTTTTTGGAAGAGAAGATAACAAATGAAATCTTTCGCGATATATCACCTGCCAGTGTTAGTCCATGTCTTGTGAAATTAAGAGAAGGTTTGGATGAACTTGGGATTTATCAGGTATGATTTGACTAAACTAATGTTACATTGTACTCCATTAATTATTAGTCCCCATCTGAAACAGGGACTACCGTACTCATTTTGGTCATTTCTATCTGTGTCTGTGCTTGTGTTTGTCTGGAGTTATATTTCAGTGGTGCTTTGGTGCTTTTTTTGGCATTTTTGGTCAAAATATGATATTTTGGACCTTTGTGAGCTTGATTACAGGAAAAGTTTTGATATGAAATCAAATTTACATTTAGTGAATATATCCTCAAAAATCTTCACCGATACAATACACAATGTAGTAAGGTAGATGTGATTACACTGCAATTCCCAATTCTATTAATAGAACTAAATTCAGTGATGAATTTAAATATTATTGATTTGTTTAGAATATTAAATATACTTGCCAACTCAGAATATACATCAACTAGGGCAAGGCTATAATAGTGTCCCTATGTTTATTCTATTTGTGCCTCCATGGTCATTTTTAGAACACAATGTTTCTAATTTTGGGATAGAGAACAAGCATAATAGTATACATGCATGTGTATATAACAATTTTTTAGTGACTTGTCACTTTTGACAAAATGGTGACTATTTTAGTCCCAATAATGATATAAAAATGTTCCTAGCAACCCGAACACCTTCTGGGATTGCTATTGCTATTGCTATTACATTTGCCAGAAGTCACCAGGTTTCCAACTGGAGAGGTTTACCCGGTCCTCATGTACATTGCTAATGACACAAAATCCCATAACACCCCCATCTCCCTACGTTTACTAGGTCCTCAATCATGGTGTCACTAATCACTAGGTATTCATCTTCTTGTGGTCAACATGCAGGTCTACATAGCTGACTGTATGTTTACCTTTTAACAATGTAATACCCTGATTTGGTGCCTGCTTAATTGTGACAATGGGTACATTTGAGAGATGTAGTCTGATATGGGCCAGCATCATGATCAGTGAAGGAGTGACATATTGTTTAAAAAAGTTAACCAATGACACTTGATTTCCATCTTTTCTTTGCTGATCGATTTAGCATAACAAATGCATTTACTTTAGTTTCGTTGGATTTACAAAAAATGATTTTCTTATCAAAGAATCAACCAATCTAATAGATGCTAAAAAAATGAATAAAGCCAATGAAAACCATGGAGTGAATACCCTGTACCAAACTACGTTCTCAGATAGTACTCAGCATTGCATTGCAGTGGAACAGACTACACGTTATCCATCCTGCCATATCAGGGCAATGGTAAAATGTTCTTTTAATAATCATTTACAATATTGTTCAGTATTGTGGGTTGTTTTTTTCAGCTCAGTCAAGAAGTACCAGATTTTATTCATCTTTTTCAACCTAACCAAAGTAGTATATTGACTCAAAGGAAATTGATTTTACTTCTAAAACCTCAGTTCAGCCCAGAAGGGTCAAATGCCAGAATGTTGGAGAGTAATGTTTGTGCACTCTTCATGATATACATAAGGGAAACTGCAAGTAAGTACAAGTTACAAGTTTATAAACTTTAAAGGGCCATAAGCTGAGTTTGGTGTATTTTTGTTATGGTTCGGTTGTTAATTTATATTGTACTAATGATGTCCTTATGAACTATGAGCGGGTAAAAAAAAATCCTGTTGAAAATAGTATTTTTACTGTATACATTCATCAGGAACTATATATCATGATCGGCGGAGTGACACAGAACTAAAGTCAGTGCATGCCAAATCACTACAATTATTCAGTGATTTTTTTTCGAACAAAAAAAGATTTTTCCCGTGGCTGTACTGAAAAACAAGTACATCAGGATTTTTTTGTAACCGGCAAAATTTCATAAGGACGTCACTAGTATAATAAGGTAAGATAGAAGCCGAACCATAACAAAAATAAAAGCGATAAAAAGCTGTACCGTCACACAATTGTTTGTCGTTTTTTTCCTCCGTGTACCATTCAAAAACGCATAAATTGCTGACGTTCAACATGAATATCATCATGTTTAGTGTGAAATATCAGATATTTCACGCTAAACGTCGCAACAGGGAGCGATATGCACCATAGTCATGTGATAAAGCATGATATATTTATGTTGTTCTCAATCTTTGTTAATGCATGTAGTAGAAGTGTAATTAACTTGCTATGTTAACCAGGAACATCATTTTTTAATTTGTTTCAGGGGGTAAAAGAGGTAATATCACTGTATCCGATATTTTGCGGTTTGCAACAGGAGCTGATGAAGAGCCTATATTAGGATTCATGATGGACCCATCAATAGAGTTTGTGAAAGTGGACAATTCCTTTTTGCCTACTGCCAATACATGTATAAATTCTATGAAGTTACCAAGAAGCACTCTTACTCAAGAACTTCCACCAATGGATGCTCTATTCAATTTGTATGATTATGCTTTCTCAAATTCTGTTTTTGGTATAATTTAAAACATAAGTTCAATAATGTTTGGATAATATCAATATCTTTATCTACAACAAATATTTTTGCCAATGCATAAGACAAAGAAAAAACATTTGTTTCTACTTCCAGTCCAGCTCATCATCAGAGGGCCACCTCATTTTGTTTTCACACTTTCAACTTCAAAGAAAATTACTGAACTTAAAGCGAGTTTGGTGAGCTATTGCTGTTATAGCTTGTCTGCTAGCTTATACTGTACTAATGATGTCCTCTTGAAATGTGACCAGTTACAAAAGAATCTTGCTGTACTATTGTGGGTGGGGTAATTACTTGTCTGACTCAATTGGTAATGAGCATCAATCTATCCTCGGGTCTCTGATGGGGACATGTCATGTCATGCCATGCCATGCCATTGACAATATGGTGTTACACATTTTTCTTAGAGTACATGCATAAGTACAGCGTTAAAATGTTTTTTCAAGGCCTTTGCCATGTATTAAAGTTGTATTGTCTTAAAATTTATATCGAAGTGTTTTTGAATCATATTATAAAAGAAAAATCAAATTTGACCAATACGAACATCACCTGTTGCCTCAGTGACTTTTCCTCTTCATGTCCAAGTCAATTTTAGTCTTCAAGATCCTGTCATACAATACTGTCTTGAATTCTACTTGAGTGCATGCTATAGAAACTAACTAGGAAGTACAACATATTTGCCTAGATTTAGTGGTACTGAACCATCCTATAAATTTGAAAAAATTCAGTGTGCAATTCGATGATAGAAAATCTTCTGAAATTCTCCGCAACATTTGACTGTTGGTAGTAAAAACTTAAGGCAAATATTATTGTATGTAATATTGTGTTGCAGTATGTCACTAATTACTCTATGGTCAAATTTGAGAACATGTATTTTTAAAAAATGTTATTATTGTACACATAGTTTCATTGTTAGTCCCCGTTCGGACGAAGTCCGAAAACGGGGACTTATAATTCGGTCTCCGTTTGTGCGTCTGTGCGTCCGTCCAGAGTCATATCTCAGAATCCCTTGGACCAATTCATTCTTTGCATGTGCCTAGTAATTTATGTGGGACATATGCACATGCAGTGGTTTTAGTGATTTGATTCAAAATGGCCGACTGGCAGCCATCTTGTTTTTTTAAAATGTTGTATTTTGGACATGCTTTGTCAGTTGTCATTCAAACTTTGTACATAGATTATACACGTTAGGTTACATGTCCATGACGATTTATTTCGCAATTGGATCAAAGATGGTCGGTATCTTGTTTTTGTTTTTTTATGCGGTATCTTGGACGTGCTCTGTCAGTTTTCATTCAAATTTGGCACATACATGTACTTTATACAGGTTAGGATGCATGTCCATGAAAATTTTTTTCAAAATACACGTGTTTTGATGTAAATAAACAATTTGTTGTATACGCCACTTGGAACTCAAGTTTTAAGGACACACTCTCCACAACCCCTCTGCTTTAATATGATGAGCACAAAAAGAACTTTAATGGGGACTGTGTCATTTTCAATGACTTGTTTATACTATAGAATTAGCTTGAACTTTAGTAGATCAAGATATGATTTTCATAAATTTATGAATGTATGGATTCTAAGATGCGAGGTTTACTTTGTAAATGCATACTAAGCTGTTGTTTAAATTTGTTTTCACAAATGAGTTTTTTGCCAGAAATGGTGATAAAACCTAATATAATGGGTTCCTGCCTGTTTTAATAGGGAGACTTTTTACCCACCATCCTTCAATTTGGGATGTTGTGTAGTAAACTTACCAAAAATGGTGTAAAACACTGTTAGCGTTTACTAAGAAATGCATGCTTATCCTCCCAGACCCACCTCCCCAGTTCATGCCCAACAATTTGTTGTAGCATTATAGTGGAATGACATTGGTCTGGTATCATGATTGGTACAAGGACAACCAAGTTTAACATTTTCTGTTGGACATTTTGATTATTGATTATGCATTTTCTAGTGAACTCTAAAACAAACTCCACTTAGCACCAGTTTTGGTAAATTGATTACCACAAAACAATTTGATTTACCAGTGATTGTATTACCAACATTCTTGTCATATATCTAACCCTATATGCATGTCAAACAAAACTTGTGTATTCACATTGATAAACATACTTTAATCTAATCCGCTTTACTTGTACATCTTTCCCTAATAGTAAGGTTGTCATTCACAAGACATATTGCATTATATTAACTAATGTGAAAACATTTGGTCAGAAACAGATTGAGACATCTGTAGCAATTTTTTGTGGAGTAATTCAAACACGCAACCTCGGTAACAATCTTGCTACTGTGTTACAAACTACAAATGAAAATGATTGGTTGAACAAGTATTATGCCCAGCGTGTCAAATTACTTGCTGAACTAAAAACATAGTATATTGTAACAAAATTAACAAATATGATAGGGCAAACTTGTATATCTCGTTATTGAATGACATCCATAACTCCTGACTTATTTAACAGTGAAAAATGTGGACGTGGGGATACCATACCAAAAGGCGATGATGGAGGGTAGTGCCAAAGATAACCCAACACTTCAATAAAGTTAAAATATAGATTCATTGCAAGCAATGAAAATCTTCAACTTCTGTACACAGACAAAACATCTCAAGCTTGTTGGCATACCGTATTTTCTTCATTAGTTACGCATGCGCTTACATAAATTACAGAGTTTCTTATAGTCTAAATAAGTGATACTGTAATGATTTAGTATACAACAAATGTGATGTTTGGTTTGGTTTGCTTTCTATTGGAGATATGCTTCTACTAGAGCAAATACGGTATTCTGATTATGTGGACTACTAATTGTCGATTTCACTTTAGCTTGCTACTTTGACATCTGCCACAATGAGTTATTTACAATTTCTCTCTCAAAATATTCTCAATTGGTGTTCGAATGATTGTTTATAATTGATAATACATTCTGATACACATCTATGCCATAATTTTCGGATGTCCACATCTGTGGAACAGTTAGGGAAAGTTCATCTAAGCACTCATCAGATAATTGAAATGTCAGTGGTTCGAGTAATGGTCTTGAATCCAAGTGGTTTTCACTAGCATCATCAACAACCCCTTCAATACCATAATGCATTATGTCACTCTCATCTAACTCCA